GCTAGGATTACAGGCCTGAGCCACCACGCCCGGCCTTCTGGGATGATTTTTTTCCTTAACCTTCAGGCAACCAAATCCTCTACCCTTTCTCTCCTCTCAAATATTCTCTTCCTTTGGCTATCTTTCTGGCCACACTTTGATGAGCAGGACAACGAGTGAGCAAAAACAAACACAAATGTATGCTGTAATAGAGTTTATAATTTCATTGCTGGGGAAGGCTGTCATACAACAAATGGAAAACTGCAACCATTACAAGTACTTCGAAGAAAAAGTATAGGGTATTATGAGGTTCTGAAATGAAGAGGTCAAAGAAGGCTTCCTGACCAAGTGCCATTTGAAATGAAGGATGAATCGGTATTAATCTAACAGAGAGGATAGAAGAGCTCTGCAGACATAGGGAGCAGTGTGAAGAGGTGGAATGTCTGGAGAGAGAATGGTATGAGGGATTGACAAAGTGAGAGGTTACTAGTGGAGAGATTAAGGGGGAACATTGTGCAAGATGAGGCTGCACAGGCATAGGAATCTGACCGTGAGTGACCTCATAGACCATGGTTGGGAGTTTTGTCTTCATCCCAGGTGGAAAGCCATAGGAAGGTTTCTTTCTGGCACATTCACTGTCATTTTAGGTGATGTATAATGCTCACTTTTACCACACCCATCATCAAGGGTATCTAGAATACTGTGCATGTGTCTAACTCTGAAAAAAAACCACACACACATACCAGTTTCTGACCCCCAGACAACTGTCACATTATAAGATTTGTTACTAATAGAGTTATACTGAAGTGCTCCTTAACTGGGACTGAAATTTTTAAGAATCCTAGAGTATAGTCAAGTTTATGAGTTCCTAAATGACATTAGCAATGCCTTTCATCGCTTATTCTTTCAGTTGATAAACTACATTGGTTGCTGTTGAGTTTAGAGATATTATATATATACATATATTTTTAAATGTTTTGATTACATTCATATGTACCTTTATATAGTACTTATCACTAAAGATATTTAGAAATCAAAGTGACCCACAAGTAATTATCGGTAAGGTGAACATAAAAATAATCATAAAAGTAAAGAATGAAATTATGTTCCAGGTGGGCTAACTACAGGGACATCAAATTTGTTTATTTTTGGAATTCTTAAATTTAATGAAATGTTGAAGAATTTAATGAAATGTTGAAAACTTTTAGTGTACATCATTTTCTAACTTTTATATGCACATACATATGTATACACATATATATGTGTACTGTATACATATATATTTATGTATATACAAGGGCTCTCCAGAAAGTATCCAGCCATGTAATATGTTTTTGTTCCAATGGCTGGATACTTTCTGGACAGCCCTCGTATACAATACTATGCACCTACTATGCATGCACATATATATAAAACTTTCCTTACTGGTCAATAAGCTCTTTGAGGATAGGTATCATGTTTTGTAAAGTACTCTAAAAACACCAAGCCTAATGTCTTGTATATAAATAAATACTCATTGAATGAGAAAAATAATAAACATCTTGGTTACTTCAAAATATAATGAAAATGGACAATATGATTAAGCATGCTTTAGTAAAACCATTTAGAGTAAACTGACATTCAGATGTTGAATATATGACATGGTAACATCTTTTAGGAGACTTTCTTTTTTTTTTTCAGAAGTAGCTCTTAAACTGCAGTGACTTTTAAAAACTAGAAATTTGCAGAGGTAATAGATGCATTTATAGTGAACTTTGGGAAAACAGGATTCAGAATTTTAGGTATATAAGGAAGCTAACAGCATGGTTCATTTACAGCCTTTTTCTTTAGAAAATATGTTGCAAGAATAACTGCTCTTAAAAATGCAAAGGAAGGCAGGGGGTGGTGGCTCATGCCTGTAATCCTAGCACTATGGGAGGCTGAGGCGGGAAGATTGCTTGAGCTGAGGAGTTCCAGACCAGCCTGAGTAAGAGCGAGACCCCGTCTCTACTAAAAAATAGAAAAATTAGCCTGCTATCATGGTGTGCGCCTATAGTCCCAGCTACTTGGGAGGCTGAGGCAGGAGGATCACTTGAGCCCAGGAATTTTAGGTTGTAGTGGCTTATGATGACGCCACTGCACTCTAGCTGGGGCAACAGAGCAAGACTCTGTCTCAAAAAAAGAAAAGCAAAGGATTTATTGCTCATTATTATAGCAAGTGTTTTTAATCCAAAGTAGATTTGTTCTTCATCTACAGGTCCATTTGATATAATTCTATTTTATTTGCATTATCTATTATCTACGTATCCATTAATTCACAAATATTTATTGAGTGCCTACTATGTGCCATGCACTGTTCCTGATGCTGGGCACATAGCAGTGAACAAACAAAAATCACTACACTTGTAAAAATTTTATTCTAGAGGGAGACAAACAATAATCAAGATAAATCAGTAAAATATATAATAAATTATATAATGTCAACTGCTAAGAAAAAAAATAAAGCAGAGAAGGGGGATAGGAAATATGAGAAAAGAGTTGAATTTTAAATGGAGTGGCCAGGAAAGGCCTCACAAAGAGATGACACTTGGGTTAAGTCCTGAAGGAAGTGAGGCAGCTAGTCCTGTGAATATCTGGGGGAAGAGCATTCCAGGCAGGGAGAATCCCAAGTTGCAAATGCCTTGAGGTAAAGACTGCCTGGCATAGTTGAGGAATATCAAGGAGGCCAGTGTGTGTGGGCTGGGGGTTGACGGGGGAGTAGTGAGAGATGAGATCAAAGAGATGACTGAAGCCTAGGTCATAGAGGACTTCACAGGTAAGGAAGCCCTTGAAGAGTTTTAAGCTGAGGAGTGACATGATCTGACTTTAAACAAGATCATTCTGGCCATGGAGTTTTGAGAGTAGAGTGAAAGAGGGTAGGGTGGGAATAGGGACATCATCTAGGAGGCTCTATCTATAATCCAGACAAGAGATGGTGGTGACTTGAACCAGAGTGGTAGCAAGTGACTAGATTCTGGTTGTATTTTGAAGATAGTATTCACAGGATTTTCTGACAGAATAGGAAGTGAGGTTATCCACTATTTGTGATAGTTAAATATCCACTTGTTTCTCCTAAGCAATGAAAAAGGACAGTTTCTCACAAATTCTCTGTCATTCTCAGAGTATGATGCTGCTGACATTCAACTTTACTTTTGTTCCCGAGTTTGAAACACACCCCAATTATTTCCATGTCGTAGCCCAACCTTGAGGAATGGTGTAGAGAAAATGTGGCTGTCTGAAGATTGACAGTGTCAGAACTATTTCATGAGACTGTAAGCTCTGAGAGGCTTATTTCATTTTCCTTGATATCCTCAAAGCCTGGCTCACTCAGAACCTTGCATACATTTGACTCTCAAAAAAATGTTTGTTGAATGGTATAATCTCTACATTTCCTATGGTAATTGTAAAAGATTAAATTTTCACATTTGCTAAAGTGAAAAGTAATAAACTGAAAAACATTCAGTCCCTATCAATTGCACAATCATGAGTTAAAAATTTGTATTTTAAGTTTTGGAAGCTGGGAAATCCAAGGGTATGGCACCAGAAAAAAAAATTTATATTTTAGTATTAAAGATAGTCTGCTGGGGTACTGTAAACTGGTAAATAAATGTATTTGAGTCTTCTGCACCTGCGTTCTGGCTTAACCTAAAGTTGTTTTAGCTTTCCCCGCACCTTGTAATTTAAGTTAAAGGGCAGAGGAGAATGGCTTTGTAATTTGCAGCTAGGGCTGAGTGTCACACTACCCCTATCCTCTGGTGAAGCTACCACGCAGTTAAGGCCCCTTGAACGGCGCACAAACGTCACTGGGTCAAAAGGCGTGTGTCCAGTTGTCCGGAGACCCCAGCGGGTCACGGGGCACAGCCCACAAGCCCCGAGGCGCGCGCCCGCGCTGTGCACGCCCGGAGTTGTAGTTCCTCCTCCTCCTCTCTCTCCCTGAGGGCCGAGCTTTCCTCGCGCGAGCGCCCCAAGCGGCACGCAGGCTCCGTGAAGCGGGGTGCGCGCGGACTGCGGGGAGCGTTTCCTAGCAACCGGAGGAGCGGCCACGTCACGGTGGCAGCTTCTAAGCGCTGCTGGCCACGGTAAGGGCCGCCGTAGGTACCTTCCAGCAGCCGCGGGCTGGTAGAAGCGCTCCTCATAGCCCTGTATGCGCACGTCTTGGTTCGCCTTTACCCGCCTTATCGCGCTCCTGATAGAGCAGCCTCCTGCCTCGACCCCGCCACTGAGGCCCGGGCCGAAGGCTAGAGGCGGCCGGCCCGGCTCCTGCCCGGCCCTCGCCCCCTGCACCCGCGGACCCCGCCGCCGCGGACTCGGCGGGACGATGCTGGAATCCATTCGCGTGACGGGTGAGTGCGGGGAAGGGTTGGCTCCGGGCTGGCGGGTGTGGGGCGGGTCGGGGTCCCAGCCGCCTCGGGGCCGAGGTAAAGGTGGGATGTGGGCTCGGCGCGCGGCGCGGGGACTCCGCCCCACACCCAGAACCTTGCGGGGCCCTCAGGAGCCTCTCGGAAAAACGTGCGGAGGGACGAGAGTAAACGGTCCCTTTTCCTTTGGTCGCTTATTATCAGTAAGCGCATGCTGTTGAGATCTAGTGAAGAAAATTATAACAGAGCGATTACTGGTTCCACAAGTGTGCAATCTTAAATCCTATTTCAGAGCATATTCGGTGTGTAATTAGGCACAATTTTCTAGAATGTTCAGAAAAAATCAGCTAAGCAAGAGGACACATCTCTATATTTCAGTATTTATGCTGTGTATATTTGTGTGTATGCTTTTATTCTTATACAGTGAGAACATTTTGAGTTGATATTATTAACAGGTCACTTTATAGTGTGGATTATACCAACCATAAAACATGAGTGTGTAGACCCCAGATGTGAAAGTTTACTTGCCTTTTCTTTCTTTTTTTTTTCTTGCCTTTTATTATTTGTAAATCACTGTGTATATTAGCCATTTAAAAATATCTTACATAATATTAGAATAATTGCCAAGGCCATATTCCCAGCATTTGATTCTGTGTGAAATATAAAACAAACTGGATTTAAGGACTGAAGCAATTATGTGTTCTTAAAGCACTTCCTATATAATGCTTTTGATTTATTAGTCATGATTTAATATAATCTAAGTGTGACATCCTGGTGAAACTGCTGATTGGAGTAGTAAAATGAAATAAGACATATATATGCTACATATGCTGTTTGAAATGGAATCAAATCAGAACAGGTTTCTTTGCTTTCTCATAGCCGTTTACAGAAGAGTTTATTATACTAAAGCCACTAAAATGTTGATTCTAAAATGTAGATTACTTTATATTAATATTCAATTTACCTTGGAAATCGAAATTTAATGATTCAAAATATTTCCCCATTTACTTATTTCCATGGCTTGTTTCTATAGGAGCTAAATAAAATATTGACTATAATAATAATGATAGTTAACAAAGTCTGCTTACTATGAGCCAGTACTGTTCTCAGCACTCACATTAACTTTTAAAATCCTTACACCAATACTATGAAGTATGCATTAATATTATCCCATTTTACAGATAAGGAACTACAGCACAATGAAGTTATGTAACTTGGTCAAGGTCATAACTGCTACAGCCAAGATTCAAACCAAACAAGCTCCATTCCAAAGCCCATGTTCTCAACCACTAGGAAAATCACACTGTTACAATGACTTACCCTGATTTGAGCGTCAGAACCCAAAACCAGTCTCATTTAGTATCAGTGTTCCATTATCTGATAGTTTGCTCAAAGTGTTGATTTTTAAGTTTTTATGACAAACAAGTGTGTAAATAATTTTTGCGTGGGAAAATCGTCTTTTACTAGAATACAAATTTGTTTTCAAAATAGAAAAGAAGACATCTAGCTTGTTCATTGAGTAACAAAATGCTGTCGGAAGCTATATAATATAAAATTATTTTCATTTATGATTTCCTTCTGGTTTTATATTGTATGTGATGTAAGACGTGATTAACGATGATCAGCTGGAAATGAAGTGCCTGTATAACAAAGGTGAATGTTTAAAAATACTGGAGATAAAAGTCTTCTTAAGGGCCGGGCGCAGTGGCTCACACCTGTAATCCTAGCACTCTGGGAGGCC